AGGGGTAGATAATTATCCTACCTTGTTATTTTGTTAACTCACTATCACTTCACTGCTTGAAGATTTTGTAAGCAGCTAGCGTGTCGGTCTTAGAACACAGGCCTAATCAGTTAGGAATTCACTGCACATTTTCCTAAGAGTGAAGTTAGCTGAAAACAAGGACTCTTTTCCTATTTGGGTGTAGATGAGGCTTGGGGGGGGGGGAGCTAGAGGAAGGGCGAGGGAGAAAGGGGAAGAAGGTACCAGAAACAAGGATCTAGTACTGGATTTCGGTTCCCACTACAGGAACATGGTTCATTTCCAATTCTGCATTTCAAGAACAAAAAGACTTTCTGATGATCTTTTTAAATTTTCTTTGGATCAGTGTTTATCTTTAGCAGAAATGTATGTCTTCCAGTATTTAAAGGCTTAAAGCTTTTGAGGAAGTGAAATCATCATATTTAAAGATGGTTACAAAGTCAAGACAGGGCACTTGAAATACAATTGTTTCTAGAAATAATATGAGCCTCAGCGTGTGCTATCAAATAAGGGAATGCCTTCCTGTGACTGGGATAGTTTATTATCTAGTTAACCATGCACAAACCACTCTGAACTGAGTGTTCGAGTCACCTTTCCCTCCATTACTCTCAATCCTCATGAGACGCCCACTCGCGTCTCCTTTCATAGAAATGACCACTTTAGAGAACAGGAAACCGAGATCCAGAGAACTCAGTCAACTGCGGAGCTTTTAATTGCAACCTGGGTCCTCAGGCGTCACACTGAAGTCCTTCATTTCTTCCCGCTTCAACTTAGTCAACATTTTCTAAGTGAGCATTGTCTGTCAGGCATACGCCAAGAAAACAAAAATGAAGTGCCCCTGACTCTGATTTTATACCCCAAGACAGAGATCAAGGCATGGAGGCTATGGGTGCAGAGTGGAGGGGACGGCATGGTTCTCCAGGGAATTCTCGCGAGTCTGGTGCAGAAAATTCTGTATGAGACTTTAAAGAAGACAGAGAGGCTGAAGGATTTAATTTTTTGGTTAGGCACCACTTCCTCAATTCTTAATGTACCTTCGTAAACTACTAACTACATTAGTAGTCTTTTTCTGTCCATTTTGTTTTGAGTATTTTGCTGAAATTGTAGTGTCTGTGCTTACAAATGGCAAGGCTAACCTCAATCATCTGAGGCTTAAATGCCGAAAGCTGCTGGACTTTCGATTAATGGGAAAATCTCATCTGGGCGTTATGTATGTGCCATTAAATCTGTGCAGTCCAGATCAGGAATACCGCCCCCAGTGGTCCTATATGTCAAAGGCTGGGCTCCATCCCATTAGGAGGTGAAAATCTTTAAGAGGTAGATCTCCCAGGAGGGCATCAGTTTATCAAGGGCGTGACCTCTGTCTTTCAGCTTTCCAGCCTTGCAGTGAGAGCACCACTTTCTGCCATCATGATAAGCTGCCTTGCCAGGAAGCCCAAACAACAGGTTCAATGAACCAGATTGAGACTTCTAAAACCTGGCCAGAATAAAGGTTTTCTCTTTAAGTGTTTTTACATCGGTATTTGTTATAGGAATAGGAAGGTGAGTACTATAATATCCAATTTATTTCTGCCTGGCCACAGAAAACAGTCACAGCTCCTGGCTGATGGGTCCAACCTGAGGTAGGCTGGGTCTTGAGGACTGGAATGCTGTGACAGCTCATCTTGTGGCTGGGCTGGCACCTGGAGATGACACCTACGCTCTATGACCCAAAGTTCTGGAATGCCCTTAGAGCTGAGGTGAACTTGACCTTGGACGGATAGGAATCACGGTGTCGGGTTTCTGCTGTAAACAATGCTGGATTCTAGAATCCAGGATGTGGATGTTCCTTGAGGTTGTGTGCAATGGAACAACATGATTCTGGGTGATCTTTGTTTATGGTAGAACCTAGTAGATACTGAACATGCAGCTCAGAATCATAGGCTTTTCAAGAAGATTGAAAGTGAAAGTGGGGGCTGAGATGGGGTTCTACTCTCCCTGGGATAATGGACATTATTAGATGTGCTGCTATGGCCTGAAAGCTGAGCAAAAATGGTGCTGATGGTGGAGAAAGCTGAGGCTGGGAGTGTCTTCAGTGCTCTCTCTACAGGGAGAGTCAGATTTTCCCACATGGTACATGGAGGTGACTTGGTTATACTAAGTTTTAATAAATATTAGATCAAGCACTTCAACTTCAAGCTGATGTTGTCTTGAGGGAACCAGTGCCTCACCCTGATATGCGAGTCCTGTCAGGGAACAGACTCTGAGAAGTCATAGTTTTAAAGGGCACCAAATCAGGACATTTAGGGCAAATCTTAGTACAATCACCATCTTTTGCATAACTTAAAACATGTCTCAGCATCTTTCTGGATCTTTACATCTTCAGTTGACGGTGAACACCTGTGGTCAGGAGCCCACGCTTCATTCATTCAGCACAACGTCTACTTCACAAAAGGTTAATAGAATATGTGAGTTTGGACATGGAAGTACACGTGTGAATAGAATGAATTAAAAAAAAAAAAAGGAGGAATCGTGTCTGCAGTTTAAGAGAGGAGAGTCTTAGGAGAACCATGAACCTTGCTCTCACCTCCTAGACACTGACATCAACCCCCGTGCCCTTCTTTGAAAACCAGTGACTCTGATAACGGCCTAATCCCAAGGTTTTTAACAGCTCTGTGATTCTCTGATGAGAACACATTGAAAGAGCTCATCTTTATTTATTTTTTTTCAGTATTTACTAGCCAAACATGCTGTCTGTCAAGAATCAAAATAAACCACCTGTTGACCCAAGAGGGTCCTGAGGATTTGGCTGCCAGGATAGCACAGCACCCATTGACATTTGCAAATGTCGGGGAACACTAACCACAAGATCCCCACACCAGCGAGTGGGCGGGAGGTAGAGCAGAGCTCTGCAGGCTCATTTTACCTCTTTGCAGTCAGTGCCCACAGGATGGGTGGCAGCTTGCTGTTGGGGAGGCCAGTATCTCCAGAGTAAAGGGTTCTCTCTCTCCAGGAGCGCACAGTCAGCTCTCACTTCCATGGTGAGTCTCACAGAGGTGAGCGACTGCCACTTGACGTCAAATGTTCAAAACTGGGAATCAAGCAACTTGCTGTAGGCTTAACTTGGGTTTTTTTCATGTCTTGAGTGTGAGCTGCTGAGATAGGCTATAGACAGCACACCTTTTCAAAGTCAAAGAATGGAGGAAAAACGACCCATCATCCTACTACCCGAAAGCAGCCACTATACATATTTTGTTAGTTGTATACTCCTATTTATATCTAGTCTATTTTCTATAAATGTTTTAAAATACAGTTGCAAATGTATTATATGGACCTATAATAGGTATATATGCACGTATCCAGCTTTGTTCTTTTACAATTTATATTTGTTTGTTTGTTTGTTTTGAGACAAGTCTTACCATGTCATTCTGGCTAGCCTTCACTACGTAGATTAGGTTGGTTGGACTCAACAGAGAGCCCCATGCCTCTGCCTCCCGAGTACTGGGATTGAGGGCGTGGGCCACCCCACCCAGCCCATGTAAATTTTTCAATGACAACCTTTCAGACTTAGTATTTTATAATTTACTTAATCATTCTCTACCTTATACCCTTTCTACCAACCCAGTCATGACAAGACCTATAGATTGTTTAAAGTTTTGCTATTTGATGCAAAGCTAACAGGTATATTTCTTCAAAGATTTTGCTTTCCTGCATGTTCAATTACACCCAGAGCATAGATTCTTAGAAGTGGGGCACTGGGTCAAAGGGCATGACTGTACTTTATGATTGTTGACACATGTGACCAGATAGGTTTCTGGAAAAGTCATGTTAGTCACAGAAGGACTCAGTCTCACAGCATTTCTCCAAGAATTATTTAAATGTTATATATACAATGAACGTAAGTGTTGGTTCAAAGACTCGAAACAGTTGACATAGAGGTTGGTAGATGTGGGAAAAGCTAGAGGAGAGAAGGAAAGAGACACTTGACTTGAATAAGCTTTAGAACTCGAATCCACTGCTTACTGACACACAGCTAGAAACTGCTGGGACATTTTAAGTCATTCTGCATATCAATGTGGTGATTGTCGGTTTACTAAAGGAGACACTGTGGCTAAATAACTGATTTAGTGTAGCTCCGATGGCACGTAGCCACATAAACTTGCGAAGTGGTCTTTGTAAACTATTTCCCTTTCTGGATTTTCCCCAAACACAGAACTTGTGAGAAAAAAGATGAGACTAGAATGTGGGGGGGAATATGCTTAAAGAATATATCATAGTTGTATGAAAAACAGCTTTATATAGCTCAGTTTGATCAAATAAAGATCAAGCTAGAGGCTTTCCCCATTTAGACTATGAGGCTGTGTGGGATTAATGAAGGGAAGCCCATGGTTGGGAGTTCAGTCCACAGCTCGTTTACACACCCAGAATTACAACTCTGACGACCCACAGTTCCACAAGAGTGACTGAACAAAACTAGACACTCTGCAAAGAAGCTGAGGACTTTTACTACTTCAGCAACAAAGCCCTAGGTTCTGGGTGTCCCACATGGACTAGTGGCAGGTTCTCCGAGAGTTTTGTTTCCGTGGGGGGTTTCCACAGAGAAGTACTAAGCGTGAGGATTGATGAAAAGGCTTGGGTCATCTGCTCCTACAGCTCCACTTGGCCTTGGTCATCTCCCTAGGGTTCTCACAGCTCTTTATCTAGATGGTGGCACACAAAAACTATGTTGCTCTCAATTTAGGAGCTAGGAGAATAAACAGAAGACCTGGGTGAGATGGTTGACGTCTCTAGTCACAGAAGCCTGGGAGCTGAGGCAGGAGGATCATGAGGCCAGCCTGGGTTGTAGTGAAATCCTGTTTCAAGGAACCGAATGAATGAATGAATGAATGAATGAATATATATTATAAACAATAAATAAACACACTGTCCTGCCTCTATTTTGAGGGCTAATAAGAACCTATCTGAATTTGATAGAGGCTTAATGTAAAAGCACAGATAAATATTCTGAGTCACAGGCTTTATTTCTAAGAATAATTTTGCATTAACAGCAGAGTGAGGAAATGGTCCAGAGAGTGACCCTGGACCTCGCTTCCCCTACTATTGGTAATTAGTAACAGCACGTTTCTAAACAGCATTGTCCGTGGCTATCATCGACTGAGTCTGCTTATGTTTCTCTTCTGACTTTTCCTGTTCAATGATCCCATCCAGGATGCCCTCTATTGGGCTGCCATGTCACTCAGGCTGCTTTTGGCTGTACCACTTCCTCTAACTTTCCTTGTTTCAGACGACCCTGACGGTTTTGAGGACGCTGGTCAAGTGTTTTGTAGGATGCCTCTACTAGCATGTTGGATGTTTTTCTTATGATTAGATATGGACAATGGAAAAAACCACAAAGATAAAACTCCACTTTCATCATATGGTAGGAAGGGCACATAATATCAATACGACTTATTATTGTTGGCAGTGCCCTTGCTCACCAGGCTGAGATGGGGTTTCATCTGAACTCTCCTCTGCTCGTTTTTAGATACCGTATCTTTGGGGAAAGGTTCTATGAAATCCATACTTAGAGAGTAGGGGTTTATGGGCCAGCAAGATAATGAGGTGGATAAAGGTTCTTGCTAATAAGCCTCATGGCTTTTTGATCCCCAGGCCCCATAAGGTAGAAAAAGAAAAATGACTTTAGCAAGTTGTCCTCTGACCTACACACACACACACACACACACACACACACACACATACACACACACAAATGAATGAATGAATAAGTAAACAAATGAATAAATGTCTATAAAGAGGTAGGATTCATACTTCCCCTATGTAAACTATTTAGATTTTTGCATAGGGTATTTGTCTTTTCTCTCCCATGTATTAATTTTTAAAAATAATTTACTTACATCGTATGGACTTGTGGATGCTTATTCTACATTTTGGATAATAATCTGAAATGTTGTTCTATTTCATTGCCCAAATTTGACCGTCTTTGTACAGGAGCTCTGCATCAGGGTCCTGTATATCCTGGGAAGTCTCCTGACTGTAGCCTTGTTTTCAGAATTATGTACTTCATGCACTCCACAATGTTTCATTTTTATTTAGTCTATTTCCCATCTTGGTTCTAAATGCAGCCCTCTCTCCAAGGAGCCTTCATTCTTGCTTTCTTGTTATTAAAAAATATTAGGCTGTTGGGCAAGGTGGCACACGCCTTTAATCTCAACACTCGGGAGGCAGAGGCAGGTGGATCTCTGAGTTTGAGGTCAGCCTGGTCTACAGTCGAGACAGCCAGGGCTGCAAAGGGAAACCCCGACTCGAACACTAGAAGTTAAGGTTTGAGTACTCAGTATACTTGCTGCCCGTCATTGCTTCAAGGCCAAACACAGTTCAGATCTTACATTTTAAAGACCAACGCGCACAGGGTTGTGATGCAGCTGCCTTTTCATAAGACACCGCAGACTTGTTCAGAGTAGCAAATCACGGTACTGTGTAACTCTATGGTCCTGAACATACGGCCTGTGCATTATGGCCTTCTTTCAGGCTTGTGGGCACACCATTAACAGAACGCCACTAATGCTGACACGTGAAATAGCTTTTGTACACCGGACTGCCCACGCCATCCCTGCTTTCTCTAATGAACACTGCAGTAAGCGTAGAGTTCAGGGTCTGAGCACGTGCTTTGAGTCCAACTCTGTGACAATGTACACGGTGAATGCATTCTGTCCGAGGCTCAGCTTCTAGTCACAGAAGATCAGGGACACTGGCTTGGGTAATGGGAAGGACTCTCCCACTCTTAGCATAGTTCTCAATGGTCTTGGGCTGAAGGAATATAACTGGCTTCACTCCTCCTTACACACAGGTCTGGTATTCACATGGTCTAAGTGACGGAAAGTTGGTAGAGAGCATTGCTAAAAAACCGGGAACGACTTTCTTTCCTGACGATGACAAGAAAAGGTGACAGATTATTTAAACAATCAGGCCGAAGAGGCTTTAGGCCTTCCTTTTTAAAGACCGGAGAGCAGAAATAATAATAGAAAGTGCATGTCATTCCTTTCAAGTTTGGTACAACAGCGTCTGGAAGCTGCTTGCTTGCTTGCCCATACTTCCCAAAGAAAAAATAATAATAAAGAAAAAACCCTGAAAGGCAGCAAAGCTTCTGGTGCCTGCCACTTCTGATCATGAGTGAGGGAGAGCAAGAGCATGGGGTCTCAGAAGCTGCTCCTTCTGATCCTTAGCATCCGAAACCTTCACTTGGCTTTTGGACTCACCCAGCACCATCAGAGACTTTGGTCTACAACTGGTTAACAATTGATAAGGTGGGGATTCGAGGACTGCCTTCCTTTACTCCGAAGCTTACAGTTTAACCTCCTGCTCCACCCCCAGACACAGACACACCACGGACCCTTTCTATCCCCCATTCTAAAGTGCCATAAATGCATGGCCAGCTACAGCGCCATAGAAGTCACAGCACACGGGCGGCCTGTTCATCACCGGGCTATTCTCCCTTCACATGGGCGGAGAAACTGAGTCCTGATGGCGACTTTGCCCCTCGCCTTGTGAAAAGTTCCAGGCAGAATTGTAATTAGAAACTAAGAGCCTTGGGCAGCCAGCCCAGCCTTTTCTTCTTCCTCACTCTATGTACCTCAGAGCCAGGTTTGTGTTCTTTGTGTGTGCACAGGCTACACACACACCGGCATGTAGGGCACATGCACCCAGCCTCGGCAGCCTGACCTCAGGGGACAGTTTAATGACTTGACTTTCAGGCAGCTGAAAAAGTTTCTGCGGGCGGAGGCTGAAATAAACAAGAAAAGCCACTGTGGAGATGTGAATGGAAAAGTACCAGCCCTCCCTCCCTTCCGCACATTCTTCCTCTCTCCAGCCTTCCCTGCCACCAAGCCGGCTCCAGATAGGCTTGGGCACGGTCAGGTGTACAGAGGGCGGTGTGGGGAAGAAGAAAAAAAAAAAAAAAGGCAGGCACAACACGTAAATCAAGTTTTTCCACTCCTAGCCTCAGGTAGTAGTGAGAGCAGCCTGGTAGGCAGGCGAGCCGCTCTGAGTTTACAAATACTCAATTCCCTTCCTCCCCACATCCCTCTCACTTTATGGTCCAGTTTCCGCTTTTCCTCATGCTAAGGTTTCATAGGAAGTGAAAACCTTGCTATTCGAAACAGTGATCGAATGCAAAACACCAAGTGATTGCGTGTTCCCGTCCCCAGCACTTCTCTATTTTAAAACCCAGATATTCACGGCCGTCTAAAGCGAGGAAAACACGGACAATCAGTACTGGGATGGAAAGTTCTAAGTCAGGCTGGAAGAGTTTGCCAAAGGGGAGAAGATGATGATGGTGACAAAGAGGATGATGAGGATGATGAAGAAGGAGGAGAAGAAGAAAAAAGGAGGAGGAGAATAATAATGAATGTATGAATGCATAAATGAATGCACGAACCTGCTTTGAGCAAGAGGAGAAAATGAAATGCAGCCGCATCCTCTTCACAAGGTGGTGGGCTGGGAATCTGCCTAGGTCTTTCCTTTCCTGTCTCAGTATCTCTACATTTTTGCTCGATTTCCTGCTTTTCCCTCAGTCTCCCTGAACTCTACGACCCCTCTATTCTTTAAAATGTACAAAAGCCTTCTCCTGTGTTTAAGGATAATATACAGAGATGCTTATAGCAGGTTGTTTTTGTTTGTTTGTTTGTTTTTCGAAGATGGGTTCTCATGTAGGCCAGGCTGTCCTCCAACTCTCTATGTAGCCAAGGATGGCCTTGAACAACTAATCCTTTCCCTTCCTCCTCCCCAAGTGCTGGCTGGAATTACAGATTTTTGCCTAGCTTGTTTATAGCAGTCCTAAATAAGGGGTCTGAAATAGAATAGAGAGGCAAACTTTGGCAAACACCATGCCGACTCCTCGAAAAGCAGTGTTGAGTTCTACAGCATAGGCTGTGCACATAACAAACCCAAAGGACCAAACCAAGTCCCTTAAGCATGACCTGGAGTTGGTTCTCAGAGCCAGCTACAGTTTACATGGGGCCTAAGGCAGCCTTATCTTCCTCTGTTCTTCAAGAAATGGGGTACACACCCCCGAGCCCAGACCCACAGGTAGCCTGAGCTTCAGAAATGGCACAGGGCCATCAAATCACACAGACTTACTGACTCTAGGTTAGCAATGAGGGCCAGTCTAGCCTTCGGGAAAAAGGACCCGGAGGAAAGATTATTGGTGATATGACAGTTTAAGAGACCTGTGGAGGTCCCAGAAGGTCCTGACAGGTGGGACACACTTCCAAGCCTCCATAACAAGTGGATAGGACAGTGTTTATCCCAAGTATAGGTTCCTTTTCAAATACAACTGAATTGTGGGAAAGGTTTTGTGAAGGGAACCCGGTATGAAGTGTGTTCCAGTCTTTAAACGCATGTAATATTAGTACCAGGGTATTTTATTTTGTAATAAAGCTTACATTTACCCAGCACCTGTGCTCAGAGACCCATTCCTATGCTGAGTCTGCGGGTCAGCATGGAAGCTGGCCTGGCCCTCTATTCTGAGTATTAGCAACCAGGAATCATTAAATCATCATCGCATTAGTTGATACACAGTGCTCTCAAGTCTGCAGAAATAATTCTTAGGAAGCCAGGGCATGGGATCACTTGTGTGGGTTCCATAAGGATAATTTAAAAGAATCTGAATATATTCAAGTCCTTTCCCCCCCCCCCCCCCAATAATAGCACTGTAGAGTTCAGGGAGCCCACATAGCTGGAAGTGACAGGTAAAGACCAATAATGAGAGAGGGACATTCGGGAAGAGATTAAATTGGTATAGAACTTGATAAAGTTACTTTCCCAGGAACTGAAGAAATTGAAAGGTCAGTGCACAATATTCTTCAACATTCATGCAGTAGAGAGAAGAGAGGCTCCTCTAAAACGACCATTCTGGTCGTTTCTTCCAACATCAACACTTTGATGTGGGGTAGCAGTTGAGAGAGAGAAGGGAAAAAAAAAAACACACACACAACAAAAACCCACCGCAGTAATACAAACTGCGGCGCATGGTCCCAGAGAGGATGTAAGGCCTCTGGTGATGGGGACAATTATCGATAAGCAGGCCCGGTGGGCTCTTGCTCCGGAGGTAGGAGAAGGGTAAATTCCTTCCCAGCCCCCACTCTGGCTGGCTCTACCGCCTGAGGGAGCACATTTCCCTTTGCTCTGCAGCGCCCCCATGGGGCTAAGAGTGGAGTGGCCAGGAGAACTCAAGATGCACAGGACAAAATGAGTGTATGTTTAAGGCTTGGGGGTAGGAGTCAGGGGAGGAGGCACACGGTCACTTTGACAAGAAAAATAACCAAAATAAATAAATAAATAAGCAGTTCTATTTATAGCAACAACAATACAGCAAAACCATACAATTGCTGTTGTAAAGCTACAGAAGCTGCTGAGAAACCTGAAGTGCTTACTGCTCGGAAAAGGTAGACAGCTAGCTACACAAAGCAAATCACTTCAGCAGAACCGGGGTGTCATTTTGGTCCAATGGGATTTAGTTAATACTCTAAAATGAGAGGGAATGGGGACTCTAAATACAAAAACTAAAAGCAGCTACTGTGCTTCACGGCAGCGAGGACCCCATCTGACAAAGTCATGAGTCTTGGAAGTAAAATGTTCGTTTCCACAATAGTGGTAGGATTAGGCCTGTGTATATTCCTCAAAAATCCTTCACAAGGCAGGCTTTTCCGCCGGGGCTGCAGTAATCCATCTGCCAATACGTATTAAAATATCCAGATTTCTCAGGGACAGACAAGGGATTTTGTAAGTTCCAACCCCTGTGGAAAACAGTCAGCTCCTTTGGACCGTCTCCGTTCTAGAGCCTGTGACATCACCTTTTGAAGTGGTGGTGTTACTCCAACAACATAGCTGAAACTTCTTATAGGACCGTTCAAGGGGGGCAGAGATCCCCCCAAAACCCCTAAACAATCAGCAGCGCTCAGAGCTCTGCTCACATCTCTGTTTTTAAGCCCAGATTTGGGGTTGTGGTCCACAGACAGTCATCAGAAATTAATATGTGAAGACATTTTGCAGAACAGAACCTTTCAGAAGTCATCTGTGATTTAACGAGCTGCTTGAAGGACGTTCACAGCTAAAGCCCAGAACAGCCTGACCTTTGAAAGCCTCTTGTGCTCCAAACACTTTGGGTTAATTCTTAAGGAATCCGAATAGTCTTTTCCCCTCACACCCTTCTTTCAAGAGACAGACATAAAAGAAACAAGAGTCTCCCTCATTCAGGGATGAGTAGGAGGGCAAAAAAACCCCAACCAACATTTAAATAGGGAAACTGGCAGCTTTGAACAAACAAACCAGGGCCCACAGTAAAAGGATTCTGCCCAGCACTCGCCTTTTAAAATAAAGGAGGAAAGAAGGGAAGGAGAGATTTCCCTAGCTGCTCCTCTTCTCTGAGAGCTCCGCTCCAGAGCCCAGAGGACCCGGCTGGGCTGCGTGCAGTGCGGCTAGCTGTGGCACAGCCTGTTCTCAATACACGCAGTATCTGCGATCCTGGCAGCCAGGCCTTTAGAATTCCCTCAGGCTGATCCCTTCAACACATACTGAAGAGATTTTTCTTTTCCCCCAACGACCTTGAGACGAACCCAGGGGGAGAGAGGGGGGAAGGAAAAAAAATGTTCAAGACCTTAAGAAAAAGCAAAACACAAACATGTATTTGGCTTCAGAGAATTTTGTAGCAAACAAGCAAACACATACCCCCATACACATTTCTAACATCAAGAAATTTCCTAAGAGTCAACAGTAACAGAAAGAGTAAACCCACCACTTGCTGTCCTGGAAAGAAACAAACCAAACCAAACCAAATCCTTTTACATCTCTTTCAAGTGCAGGAGAGCCCTCCCTTCTTCAGGAAAAGTCCAAGAGGGAGAGAAAGCTACCCCAAGGGCGGTGTGTGCTGTGGTGTGGAGTGTGTGTGTGTGTGTGTGTGTGTGTGTGTGTGTGTGTGTGTGTGTGTGTGGTGGGGGGTGGAGGCTGAGGTTGTCATATGTGGCCAAAAAATTTAAGCTTCTGTCAATGGTATTAGGGTTGAAATAACGCATACTTTAAATGCCTGAGCGATTCAAAAGGGAAAGAAAAGAACACAGAGACAATAAAATCAACGGATGACGGCTCCTACGATTTACATAACACCACAAACTTGCAAAAGGCAAAAATCAGAAGCAAAAAACCCTCTAAATCATCAAAATACAACAAAAAGCAATCCCAAGGCACCACCCCAAAAGAAAAAAAAAAAAAAAGAAAAACCCTCACCCCCGCCCCGACACACTTTGTCCCAAATAAAAAGAAAACAAATGAACCCACCGAAAACTGCTTGGCAAATATTTTTCTCGTGGTGCCTAATATTCTAGCTGGAAGGAGCTGTGGTATTTATTGTTTTCTCTTTCACTCGCCTCTCTAAACCTGCCTCTAACATACTTGTTCCAACGGCTCAAAAATCTCTCGCTCCCTTTTGTGTATTTAGCTCGAGGAGCCGAGTTTATGGGTAGGAGAGGAAGAATTAGCCCCAGACCCCGGGAAAGCGAAGCGCACTCCCCCTCTTATGTCACCGAATAGCAAATTAGTTCTCAGAATTCCAGAGGCCGAGCTTTGCTACAGCGAAGACGCCGACGTCACGGAGGAGGAGCCCACGTGACGGCGGCGGAGCGGACCGTTCCATCGGCGGCCGGGGACAGGGAGGCTCGCCTGCTAGCCGCGCTCGCCCGCCGCGGGACCCTCGGTGTTCCGGGCGGCGGGGCTGCGGGGAGCCCGGCGCGCACCGGACGGTGGCCTGCGGCGTGGCTCCGAGGCCGTGCGCCGGCCGGGAGGGCGCCGCGGCGCGCGCCGTCCTCCCCGAGTCCTCCCCTGCTGCGGAGCAGTGGTAAAGCCCGCAGCTCAAATTCCGAGAATTGAGCTCTGTTGATTCTTAGAACTGGGGTTCTTAGAAGTGGTGATGCAAGAAGTTTCTAGGAAAGGCCGGACACCAGGTGATTATTGCTGTTGCTGCCGCCGCCGCTGCCGCTGCCGCCGCCGCCGCTGTTGCCGCTGGTGCCGCTGCCGCCGCCGCTGCTCATGATCATTATTTTACCTTTTAATTCTTTTTTTTTTCCGCTTTTGCCAAATGCTTTGGCTCCAAGTTTCCTATGTGTATCTATTGATATAAATGTATCTATTTATTGATTCTAGCTGTCAGGTGTTAAAATAAATGCCGAAGATCAGCCCCACGTCTCTCCCACTGTAGGATCTAGCTTTACGCATACGTATATTCTTCTTTTTGCTGTCTTGGAGCGCCTCGGCCGCCTCGGGGAGGCTGTGCCGCCCTGCCCGGTGTTGTTTCGGTGTTTGGAGACGCTGGGGCGCGGGGCGGCGGGCGCTGGGCTGCGCGGCCTGGGAGGGCGGACCGCGGCGGCCCCGCCGGCTTCGCGCGGCTTGGCTTGCTTTCTCTGCTCGCTTGCAAACTGCCTTCCCCGCCGCTGCCTCCCTCCCCGCTCAGTTCTCCCGGTGCCCGCGTTGGCGGCTGTCCACCGGCCCCGGCCCCTCACCAGTCCCTTGCCTTGCAGCCGAGCCGGGAGTCGGCATGGGGGAAATGCAAGCCAACTCCTCGGCTGGTTGTTTTATTTTCCCTTTTCTTTTCGGTCATAAAGCCAGATGAAGTAGCGTGTCTGCAGTTTTCTTTGAGAGCCGTGATCTTCCCAAGGAGAGACAGAGTGTTTTGGGGAGGCTTCGCTTGCACGGGGGGGCGGGGATGTTGAATACTTTGAAAATTATTCTTTCTTGGTTGTGAGTCGAGGCAGTCGGGAACCCGGGTGCGCTCGGTCTGCCCAGCCGGAGGAAGGAGGCTTGAAGGCGGGACAGGGATTTTGGGGGGTGGGCAGGAGAGGGGTGCGCGGTCTTTTTTTTTTTTTTTTTTTTTTTTTTGCACCTGCGGCGCTTACAGCGTGCGGGACCCGAGGGATCTTGGCCAGCCAGCCCAGAGCTCCGAGGAGGTGGCGGGATTTCTGGCGGCCGCGGTGTTTGTATTTTGGGTGCTGCGTGACTGTGTTGGCTCTCAGCGATAATTCCCCTCCCTTTCCTAAATGTAATTTCATTTTTTTTCCCCCTTGGTGCAAGCTGTGTAAAAAGGCAGCTATGGGCCTGGGCATAGCGGATTCCAGGCTTCAGATTCCCAAGGTCCTTCTTTTGGGCGAAGGAATTTAAAACAGAACCCCAGCCCGCGTTCCTGAGGTGAAAGAAGACTAGGAGAGGGAAGAAGGGCACTTGGTGACTCTTGGCTGGGGGACCCGGGACAGGAGGAGCGGGTGCGAAAGGGAGATCTTTGTGAGTGATTTTGCAAAAACAGATTGCGAGGTTGGTTGGATTTGCAACCTGTGGCTCTCCTCGAGGGAGTAGGAACGGGGGAAAGCGGCGGCGGCGGCCCGGGGCGGGAGTGGGTTGGGAGTTGGAACCTAGGAAATCGGCTGCCTGGGGGGCAGCAGGAGCTGGAGGCCAACCCTGCCGGAAACAGTGAACGTTAAATGTCTTGAGAACTGTGGGTTGCGTTGCCTTTATAATACCGTGTTGTTGGAGCCCTGGCGAAAATGGAACTAGTGTTGCAAAAAGGACTTTTAAAACTCCCCCATGAAAAACAACAACACCAACCAACATTTCTTCTTTTTTTTTTTTTTTTAAAGAGTAAAATAAATAACCTCTGTGTTGTGCTCCCTCCCGTAGAAATTTGGGTGCTAGGGATAGTAAGGGATTACCTCAAACCCGGTGCTGGACGGTCTAGAGCTGTTACAGGGTCCTTGATTGTAGTGGAGACAAGTACCGCATCCCACCCCCTAAAAAAAAATAAGTGACTTTATCTTTGTCTTTTTCTTCCCAAACATTGTATAGTTCCCAGGAGGAAAATATTGCTATGGATGCAGTACTATCCAGAGAGAGAGAGAGAGAGAGAGAGAGAGAGAGAGAGAGAGAGAGAGAGAGAGAGAGAGAAGAAAGAAAAAAAGAAAAAAGGAAAGAGGGAGAGGAGGGGGCAAGAGAGAGGGATCTTCGGAAGGGACTGTTTAGAAATACAGTTTGTGGCTCTGAGCTATGCCGCTGGCTTCCTCTGCAGTTCGCTGGTTTCCCTTTTTCTTTGCGAGGTGTTGTGTGTGGTTTTAATAAATAACTTTAAAATAAGGGAGGGGGCAGCATGACCCATCCGGAGACAGGTATCTATTTTGCTCACTATTTACTACCAAGAGCCTTTGGCGCTTGAGCAGGACCTCGTAAATCTGCAGCCCAAGTTGAAGTTCATCTGGCCCTAGTCCACACGCTATTCCTGGAGGTAGCAAACACGAGCTCAGAGGAGTGAGGTGAAATCATAGTCTCCTTTATATACCGATTTTAATAAAAAAGGAAAGATATTTGTCCCTGGGGGAAGAGGAAATGGAGAGAAAACACCAGGAGATGGACATTTCTCTTGCAAAAATGACTGCAGTTGAGTCCTGGGGCCAAAATAGAAACCTGTAGATGGACAACCCCCACCCCCACCCCCGTTTATAAATAGAAGTTTCCAGTATCCTATTTGGAAGAATTTCTTTTCTAATACTTTGAGGTGTTGAGTGATTTTAAGGGTCTGTTTGGTGCCGACAATAAGGCTGGATGCTGTTCATGACAACTGAGACAGCGAGGAAAAGCGGGTATTCACTAATTACCCTGTTCCTCTCCTCAGTTTTGAAGGCTTTACAGCAGTATTTTCTTGAAAAGACTGATTTATTCTGGGCTTGGTGGTCAGGAATGGCATCCTAGATTTCTAAGTTGTCGTTTACTGAGCCCCGAGGAGGAGTTCCAGTTCTGGGTTGAGTAAATGCCATGACTAGATGTCAAAATCCTTCCTTCCCTCTGTCCCCTGCTGGGGATATCCCACTCTGTTGTGAAAAGAAAAAAAAAAAAAAAAAAAAAAAAAAAAAAAAAACCTTCAAGTTTCAGGGAGGTGGTGCGGCAGCGCCACCCCTTGGTGGGCAAAACTATTGGTAAAAGCCAAATACTCGAAAAATAATTGTGAAATGACTGTAATTAGGCATGTGGTCCCAACTCCCTCTGAGAGATTTTCAAAAAAATTTGAGAGATGAAACCTTTAAAGAAAATACTTTGCAGTTAACCTCTTAAAAGAGGATAGAAAACACCTCGTGTTCCAAACCAGCACAGTGTCAATAATAGGCGATGCCCTTCCCGTAATTTAAGGACACCCCTGCAGGGGTGGAGGTGGGGGGTGGGATGGAGTTGGCTCTTAGCAGCGACTTCTCGGGGTGGGGGTGGGGGGGGCTGATACAGCTCTTTCCCGCTTCGGACTTGACTGCTCAGGGTGCCCGAAGTCTGCGGACGGTCTGACTTTGAGAAAAGGAGGAATGTGTTGGTGCGGAAAACCCGTGGGGCTGAAAGTGCTGCAGTTTTGTTTTTGTTTTTTCCCCCGGGGGCTGTGGTGGCGTGTGCCGGGGTGGTGGGGAGAGGTCTGTGGGGCGCAGGGTAGCCGCGGCAGGCTGGGCTGCAGCCGCGGGGGAGTCAGAGCCGGGCGGCGGCGGCGGCGGCGGCGGCGGCGCGTGCTGGTGTCCTTCACTGCGCAACAAGTGGGACCTCGGCGGCGCGCGCGCGCGGGCCCTGCACGGTGGCCCTGCACGGTGGCCCTGCGCGGTGGCCCTGCACGGTGGCCCTGCACGGTGGCCCGCCGGCTGGCTGGCTGGCTGGCTGGTTGGCCTCCTTTCGCTCCTCCCGACCCTCCCTGCTCCCCATTTCCAGACCAGTAGCACCCCCTGGAGAACGTACTCGGTTCGGTTCCCCTCCCCTGCCTTGCTCAGTGGGTCAAGGTCTTAGCTCCGATTTCCCCCTTTCCTGGTGGGGATGGTTCGTGAGCTTATTCCCAACCTTTGCCCCCCCGCCGCCCCCGCCCCGCCCTCTCCTCGCTTTCTCTCCCTCTCTCCTCCCCTCCCTCCTTTCCCCTCCTCCCCCTCTCTCCCTCTCCTTTTTGCAAGAATTTCTCTCCGTACTTTCAGGTGTCATTCTTTTTGAAAGTTGAGTGTAGCCAGCTTTGAGCAGGGAGGGGAGGAGGGGAACAAAGAACCAAAGAATACCTGAAAGCAGCTCCCGAAACAACGGTGCGATGTTAGCTAGAGGCATGAGCACCGGAAGAACGGAATGACATCTGCTCAACCGCTAAATGTTTTTCCGACTTCAGTTTGGGAAGCATCTCCCCTCACCCCACCCCCACTCCCCAAGAGACAGATTAAAAATCCTCCAGTGAAGCGGGGGTACCGTGTGTGGAAGGCTGTGCTAGCCGGGTGATTCTTGAACGGACCGAGTCCGCCACCTAGTGGTCGGTTGTTGTGGTCAAGGTTCCTGCTCGGAGTGGTGGTCTGATCCTGATCGGACACCAGGACCGACGGGAAGGGCATTCTCCAATGGGGATGGCGTCTGACCTCAAAGCTGTTGACAAGACAGATGAAACCCATAAGCCCACGCTGTCCGCACCCACGATCGCCCCAGCCTTAACCATCTATCTCGGCTAAGAAACGGCCCCGTCTTTGAGGACGTCTGTGGCCTCTCCACAGAGAAAGTTGCTTAGCAGAAAGATGTCACCCCGAAACGCTCAGGAGCTTTAGGATTTACAACTTTCGTCGTTGCTGTTGTGGAATTAGGCCAAACAGTAAGTTTCCCAGTTCCAAAGAATTCATCCGGGGAGGTTGTCCCAGTTCACGGTGGACAGCAGTTTAACCTCAGGTTGGCGGAGCCACCGCTGCGCACTGGAAACCGTTCCCTCCCAGTCTTTAGCGTGAGGCTTTTGACAGTAGCCGTGGTGGGAAGATTACGGAGGTGCCGAGGGGGTGGGGGCATCTCCAAGCTGCAGCACACGCTTGCACTGAGAGTAGGGTGGCTAGGGACCACTTCGTCTAGCTGTCTCCAAGCTTGAACTCTCTCCTCTCTCTCTTCCCATCCCGTTTATCCTCTGCTTAGTGGCAGGAGAGAGAGAGAGAGAGACAGAGAGAGAGAGGAGACAGAGACAGGCAGAGACAGAGGGGAGCTGCGAATAAATAGAGCGTTATTCTTTGAGACTTTCTGCCCCATCCCTTGAGTGAAGTTCTTTCTCCACGCGCCTTCCTGAGAGGGCCCGCTTGCCCCGGCGCGCTGGCGACCTCTAGCGGCCGCCCGCGTCCTCACCGCGGAGACACAGCTGTCTTCCCCCGCCCGGGCCGGCCGGGTGGGATCCAGTTCGTCCTCTATCACGGCGGGAGTTGTCCCAGGCCGCCGCGCGGAGAAATGCGCCTCTGTTCGGGTTGGAGGCGAATCCGGGGACGTGTCTGAAGCGCGGTCAAGTTTGACTCATCGCTTTCCAAGGACAGTTAGTGCCTTCCATCTTCATTAACGTGAATAAAGACCTTGGCTGACTTCTGTCCAGATCGGATTTTAAAAGGCATTGTTTGCTTGGGGTGGGGGTGGGGGGGGAGATCATGCCTCTCTCTCCTGCCCCACAGTACTCCCCACCCCCACCCTACCCCAAGGCCGATATCCCAGTCCTGTCAGGATCGGGGAGGAGATCTCTGCTGAAGGACGTAGTTTGCTGGCCTTGCCTGCAGGCCTTCGGGAGGCTGTCTCGGCCAGGTTCTTGGGGAGCGTCCCTTCTTCAGCTCTTGATGATAAAAACACATCCCTCTACTATTTTATTTTTATTTCCTCGAAGTTTGCAGCCTTGCAAGAGCTCTGAGGCAGGACACGTAACAGAAATGAAAGTCAGGACATAAAGTCCTCTGGTTAGCTCACGCAGCTGAGGAGGCCATCGCACCCCCCCCCCCATCTCTTCTTATCTTAAGTGTCGCCGCCGCCCAGAGGCAGGAGCACCAAGATTGTCCTCCCCTGCCTCCAGAACAGAAGCAACACTTTGACTCTACCCATTATCGCTAGAACCGGGTGGCTAGACCTAAGTAAGCGTCCTGTTCGGGAAGAGCGCTCCTGCTGGAGCCCAGAGGCAGGTTTCAACGCGTCAGCCTCCCCACTCCGCTGTAGTCAAACTCCTTGTCCCTAGACAGTGATTTACACTCTCAGGATCCTCTTTAGAGTCTTCGGCGAGCTATTGGAGTTATTAGATTACCAATAATCCAACAACCATCCTGGATAGAGAGGAGTGGAAAGGCGTTCTCCAAATCCAGACGCTTGGCCAAACTAGGTCAATGGGAAGGAGGGGCGGGGCGAGCAGTCCGCTGCAGTTTCAAGCCTTGATGGAGGGCTCCCTCTAGCGGTAGGCCGAGGTAAATACACCGTATGTGATGATGGCACTTCCAAAAAGTGCAGTGACTCCTCAGATACTCCTGTCCCATATAAAATTCCCTTTTGTCGCGTTAGCCCAGGGCGAACGAAGGACGAGGAAAACCCACAACAGGATCTTAAGACCAGAGAGACCCCCATCTCTGGGGTGCTAGGCTGACCCCGCTTCCGCCACCGAAAGGATGTGCGGTGCAGAGATGCAACCCGCTACTTTTAGGACTGGACCCAAGTGGTGCAGATGCCGCCCCAAAGGCGCAAGGCGACCGAGAGCACTTAGTGGGTGGCCACAGGGGGGGGATTCATTCCCGGGAAGGCGAGGCAACCCTGCAGTGTATTAGTCGGCGCAGTCGGCGCCTTTACCGGGTCCCTATGGTTTCAGGAAAATAAGATTCTGGAATCCCGGAGCCTGTCTGGCTTCAGGCTGGTAGCTCTGGCTCTAAAGAAGACTGGGCGGAAACCTCCCCTTTCTTGCCAACGTAGGCGGAAGGGGCTTTCAGTTTAGTTTTCTTTCAGGTTTAGTTTTTTTTTTTTCTAATTCGGCCAGGTCTCGAAGGATGGGGATCTTTAGTCCCCGGGACTCCATCTTTTTGACCTTGACTTCTTACCTACCCATTCCCTTCTAAAGCAGAGACAAGGGTAGCAAACAAGAAGACAAAAAGAAACCCCGAGGAATAACACCAAACCCCTAGGACAAACAATAACAAAACAAAAGCAAACAAACACCAGCGCACCCAGTTGCCAGAATGGGGCAAACTGGAAATCAGGAGGCCAGCCTCTGTCTCAAGACTGTCTCCCGGCTCTTGGGCTCCGCACTCTGCGTCTTTCAGATGGCTGGGGTCAGGGATGGGGACCAGGGGGACTCGGGCCTGGAAGCCGGAACCCTTGTGGAGGGCAGATTTAGGGGAAAGGGTGCTCCGTCCCCGGCCAGCGCTGCGCAGCCAGCAAACCCGGACTGGGCTGTCAAGCCGCGGCTTCCTGGAAAGTTACTTCTCGTTGGAGCCCGCGCTGGGCAGGAGTGTTCTATGAAATCCTCAGAGCTGAGGTCGACTACGTTCCGGGAATGAGAGGGCTGTGCCATTCCCCTCGTGGCCCCCTGCTTTGACAGAGTAACAGGAAAAAAAAAAAAGCACATAATACCGACGTGCACGAAAACATTTATTTGAATGTAACCAAATTAAGGGCCGTTACAGTCCTACCACCCGGCCCTGGCCGCACCTTCCGGGGCTTCGAGGCGGATGGGCAGCGGTGCCAGCCGATCGCCAGGGGGTGGGGCGGTCCCAAGGAAGACAGGTACAGCTAGGTGCGGTGAGCGAGTCTGTGCAAGCTTGCCAGGTGGCGGGGCTGGGGTTTGTGCCGGTGCGTGTGAGCAGGCGAGTGCGGCTGCCTAGTGCCACCCCCGCCGAAAAGGGAAGGGAAAGGATGGAGTCTTTCGCATTGGCTCCTTTGCTAGCTCTTCCCCTTGCCTCTCTGATCTCTCTCTCTCTCTCTCTCTCTCTCTCTCTCTCTCTCTCTCTCTCTCTCTCTCTCTCTCTCTCTCTCTCTTTCTCTCTCTCCCTCCCTCCCTCCCTCTCTCTCTCTCCCTCTCCCCCTTTCCCTCCCCCCATCCCAGTTCTGCTGCCTTCTTTGCTTGTTTTTTTTTCTCTCTCTCCCCTCTCCTCCCCCCCCCCCTTTCCCCTCCCACTGGAAGCTCCATTCGTGAAGCTTTCTCATTGAATGCACACGAGGAAAGCGCCCAGGGAGGAAAGGATGCAGGGGTGTGTTAGTCATCATTTAATTCTTAGCTGGGGATTACTGCCGCTGGACCCGGAGTTAGAGCGGAGATCCAGTTCTGGTTCGGTTCTCCTTGCTGGCCTGATTCTCCTTGGGGTTGTTTGCATAGAACATTGTTGTTGGAGAATGGTTTTTGAGAACTTGGGCAAGGACTTGTTCCTGGAGCCTCAGTTTCCTTCCTAGTGAATCCTGGCCGTTTTAAAGAGAAGGTACAATAAGGGGTGGAAAAGGAGCGAGTGATTTGTAAAATAAATAAGCCGAGTGCTAGTTTGGAGAGCTGCCGAATCGGCGGCGGCAGCGTCTGGAGGGAGGGAGGTGGCATTCAGCTCAAACATTAGCCCCCACCCGGGCAGCCTTGTCTCCGGAGACCTGCTGAGAACTGGCTGGCTTACAGAGAGGTGAATCCTTAGAGAGGAGTGACTCCATAGAACTCAGGCTGGCCCTGTATGTGCGTGTGCTGTGTGGAGGGAGACAGGCTTAAGGTTAAAAACAAAAGCCTGAGACCAGCCTGACAGTGGACATAGCAGGGCTGCCTGTTTTGTTGCTTCGGTCTGTCCTCATCTGGAGTGAGTCACTGCCACTTGTCATGGTGAAATGGCAAATCTGGGCTTCCTGTGGTTCCAAAAGTCTGTGACTGGAAATCCACAAGTGAGCTGGTGGTTAGGGCTCAGCCCAAGTATTCCAGAAGAGGTTTGTGGATCTCTTCCGTGGGGAAGCGGGAGAAAGTTAGTAAATAAACTTCACGTGTCTTCGGCATTTGTTTTCAAAAGAGACTGTTCATTGAACTTGGGTGAGGTTCAAGTGAAATCTGTTTCCTCACTCTGAATTCGGATGGGCTCAGGAAGAAACCGGCTCTTCTGTCTTTTTCTGTCCTCTCTCTTTCCCCATTTCCTACCCCGGACCCACTCACTCACACGCACGTATTAACCTTGAAACTGATGAGGCTGGCTGACTGGCACTGGGACCACAGAGAAACAGCTGAGTGGTCACAGCCTCCAGGAAGCCTTTCATTGTAGAGTGCTCATTTGGTAAGACTCAGCCCCATGGAATGGGGCAAAGTTTGTGTGGGGGAAGGAGCTTGAAACTGAGATTTACCCACCTCAGGGTGCTGCTGTCCTGCGTGTTCCACAGCACGTAGGCCGACTTGGAAAGGGGACAGGAATCTGAGCCAGAAGACCTAGGGCCAGGACGTCAACTATCTACGTGGCCCAACATGACCTCACTGGCCTTAGGCTCCTTTACCCGGAAAGCAGCTTTGGAGGGCTGTGCTGTTTAAATGGGAGAACAGAGTTCCAATATATTATTGCTCTGTTCCGCAGCCCGCATCATAAAGGAGAATCTTACACCTATGCTCCTAATGATTTTTGTTTAAGAGAAACCAATTTGGAAAGAACACATACTTCATTAAATCTCTTTAAGGCTCCCTGGCCAGTTCTCAGCTAAACCTCACAGCTAAATCTTTCACCAGCCAGGAGAAGCCCAAACTTGGAAGCTATGGTCAGTCCTCTGCCTAGTTTTAGACCTGGAAACAGAGGGAGGGGAAACTTTGAAAAAGAGGGCGAAGATACTCAAGGAATGCACAAACATGATGTCTCTGGTTTTAGTCTGTAGACTTGGTATTCAGTCTTAAGTGTTCCAGAGAATCAGGAGATACTGGCTGGCTGTTTGTCCTGAACAAGTCCTTTGAACCCTGAGTCTCAATTTCATCACCAGTGAAATAAGGATAAAGATGTTGGCCCTATCAGCCTTGTGGAATCATTCTAAGACTTGAAAGATAATATTTTTAGCAAGGGTTTGAATAGCATCCAGTGTTTTTAGGTCCCCGAAGAATCATTATCATTAATATTGAAAGAACTACTTATTTTTTTTTTGTTTCTCATAAACTCAAATGGACTTTTGACGTGTATATTTTTTTTAGCCCAGGGAAAGGAAATATATGTGTACAGGTATATGTAATTCATGTGTGCGGTGGTATTCCCAGCACCAAGGCTAAGGCATTGTGACCGGATGGCTTTGAGTTGTTTCGATAAGCACAGAGATGGAGTGTGTTTGCTAGCTTGTGGGAAAACTGCACCAGCTGGCAGGCCGCAGCTATCAAAGCAAAGCTAACTACGTGTGTCCTAAATTAAGACCGGAGTGGACAATCTTACACTCATTTAGTCAATCTCTGTTTGCTCTCTTCTCTGCAGTTTTAAAGCAAAATTTTGGACTGTGAAGCAAGGCATTGGGTGAGTGAATTAAATTATATGCTATAAGATTTGTAGATGAATTATTTCTTTTGGATTTTACCCGTGCATGGTTTTTTTTTTTTTTGGTTTTTTTGTTTGTTTGTTTGTTTTGTTTTTAAGCTTGCCGCCTTTCACTCGATGAACAAAGGATAATGAATTCTCTCCATAGAGGTCTCAGTCCTCAGCCCTCTGTCCTGTACTAACAGACTTAACACCACTGCACGGTGTTATTCACTCATCCCCTTGTTCCTCCTTAGTTCAGGCTAACCTGGTCGCCAACTCTGCCAGTGCTGGGCTAGTGCTAAGTTTTCAAACGATTGAACAAAACAACTCACAATTCCAGAGCATGGGATGGATAATGAAATGACATGCTGATAAAAATAGCTGCACCTTTTTTTTTTTTTTTAAGAACCTATTATGGTCTAGGCACATATTTCTAATTTTAAATACCACATAGGTATTGCTGTTCCTATTTTGGAAAACCCAAACCCAGAAACGGTAACAGCATGCTCCACGGCACAGAGCTGGTGAAAGGCAAAACGAACTGGGTAACTCTCCAACAGTGGTTTTCTCCGTTGCAACATACTCACGGTCTCTCAATGCTTGGCAGCGTCTTTAGTGTGTGGGAAAAACACTTAACAAACAGTCCTTCCCTTCCCCTTTCCTCTAAAGAGCTTTCTACCCCAGCTTTTATTCTGCCCATTTGACAGCTATGAATCGTAATGTCCAGAGATGGGCTATGAATTGTCCACTCGATACCTGAGTTGTATTCTACATCTTAGCATGCTCAGCCGTCTGTTTGGTGCTCTTGGGAAGCAGGGAGTAGGTTCTCGAGGACTAACAGGAGTTTAAACTTCTGTTCAGGCGAAGACAACATGGCCTCACCGGCTGACAGCTGTATCCAGTTCACCCGCCATGCGAGTGATGTTCTCCTTAACCTTAATCGCCTCCGGAGTCGGGACATCTTGACTGACGTCGTCATTGTGGTGAGCCGTGAGCAGTTCAGAGCCCATAAGACAGTGCTCATGGCCTGCAGGTGAGTGGTCTTGGAGTGAGGGGTGACTGCGGAAAAGGGGGCACTGGAATTGGCAGCCAATGAGATGAATATGTAGGCTGTTCCCTGTGTCTGAGGTGACATTCTCCTAGTCTCCAGATCTCAGCACATGGCCTGGTGTTCTGGACTCTCAGAAAACGGTTGAAGGAACACAGCTTTAGAAGAGTTTCTGTTTCAAAGGCACAGTGGGTGAAGAAATGCACTCTCAAAGACACGATGTGTCTGAGGCCATTAGGGAGACACGCGCTGGTTACTAAAAGAAATTCAGTTAACTGGTGTGAGGATGCAAAGCAAAAGAGAGTTTCTAAATGGTTTAAGCAAGCTTGACATCTTTTGCCCTTCTATGTCATAACTGTGATTTATTAAACAATTATTTTTTGAAGCAGGGTTTAATGTAGAGCTAGCCTTGAACACATTACCTAGCCAAGGCTGGCCTTGAAATTCTGATTCTCTCACTCCAAGTGCTGGCATTATCGGTATGAACCACCATGCCCCAATTACATTATTCATTTACACTGAACTATATTTCCATGGTTTAAGCACAGAGTGCATGAGGCAGCTCATTCTTCATAGTTTCCCAAATTTCAAGATTCCTGGGTGACATCATATTAAGTCATTTCTAAGTTCTCCCTGCCAGCTGACTCCTGTGGATGGCACTACGTCTCCATTTTGTAGATAATGAAAGCAAGGCACAGGTCTGTGTAATGATGCACAGCTCAGCATTGCAACTGGAGACCATAGCCAGTGTCTAATAATAGCGCTTAAAGAAATAATGTGAAGGGCTGGCTGGTGAGGCGGCTCTGTGGGTGAAGGCGTTTGCTGCCAAGCCTGATGACCTGAGTTCAACCTCAGGACCAACAGAGTGTAGAGAGAGAACTGACTATCACATGGCTGTACAGGTAGAAAATAATCAGTGTATACTGCTAACAGTTTTCATTCTTGCCACAACCCTATTAATTCTCCCCTGACTTGGCAGAGAAGGAAACCAAGGAACAGAGGAGTTAAGGGTATTAGCCAAGGCTGAAGAGTTGCTTATTGGGGAAGGGAGGTCTGGCCCATTTCTGTCAATCCACCCAGAAAGAGTAGAGTTGAGATGACAATCTAGTCTAGAATTCTAGTTTTAACTGACTAGACAACGTGACCTGAAGGCATGGCTTGGATTTGACTTGAATCTTCTAGGAATCATTGACATTCTGGTAATCCTTGGGCTTCGAGAAAGGTGGTGGAATATATATGGACGTGTTATTATTTGTTACCCATCCCTAACTCACTCCTCGTGTGGTAGTAGACTTTTTAAAATAAGGGTATTGTGGTAAAGGAAGGGAAATACGAACCATAAAGTTAGATTACTGACTGCAGATGAGTGTTAAGTTAGACAAGAGGAGAGCAGTGCTGTGATTCTGAGAATACCTCCCATACTCTGCTACCTCAGTTTCCCCATTTATAAAGGTGGAACTTGGTGGTACATATCTCGCAGGATTAGGGAGGATACAGGTTAATGTAAACATGCAAAATGCTTAAAGAATTCCTGGGCTTTCTACAAGTAGAAGTCATTAGTAAGTGCCATGGAGCTTCGGGCTCTGGGCTCTGGGCAGACAAGGCGCACAGGTGCTTTGTGACCACTACAGTGGCACCTTTGTTTGCTTTACAGTGGCCTGTTCTACAGCATCTTCACCGACCAGTTGAAATGCAACCTTAGTGTCATCAATCTGGATCCTGAGATCAACCCTGAGGGGTTTTGTATCCTCTTGGACTTCATGTACACGTCAAGACTCAACCTGCGGGAAGGCAACATCATGGCTGTGATGGCTACAGCCATGTACCTGCAGATGGAACATGTCGTGGACACATGCAGGAAGTTCATCAAGGCCAGGTGAGCTTAGGTAGACGCTGTGGATACAGAAAGGGTAGTTCCGGATCAGAACTCATGCATGCCCTGACAGCCTCTATGACATACTCTATCCACCTTTCTACAATGATGCTCATTTCTACCTTTTATTCATCGACTCTAGCCCAGATGTGCTTATCCTGGGTACCCCCTGCCTCCCACCTCTGCCACATTTTCTTTTAGTCTCTTTCTTTCCACTCACCCTGCAAGGCCGGAACTGGATGCCTTTGCCATGGAGCTGACTTCCTCAGCTCATCCGCGTTCAGCAGGCAGCATTTTGCTTTCCCTGATGACTTTCTCTTAACATTTTTATGCCTGTGTTAATTCTCCTGTAGGTTTCTATTGTAACTGTCTATATATGTACCTTAGTTCCCGACCAGAGCATCGGCTGCTCGAGTTTACGCAGCTGTGCGTCTCTTCATCTCGGTCATTATGCTCCTATTGGGAGGGCACTTAATGAACTGAATTGAGTTCACTTGGTCTAACCCTTACCCAAGGGGTAGGAGACATGAGCATCACCAGAGGGTGAGAAGCCCGAGAGCCAAAAAAGTCGAGAGCCTTGCTAAATGGAGCAATGAGGCCAAACTGTTTCAGAATCACTTGACTCAGCAGCTTTAGGGGAGCCGCCTTCTTTCTTAACAAAGAAGGGATTTCCAGTCTGTATTTGAACATTTCCAGGGACTGAGAACTCCTGTTCTCAGAGCCATACGGTCTACCTTGGGTAGTTGGAAAGTCCCTCTTTGCAGCCTCTTGAAATCTGGCTCTGGTAGCCCTCACTTTCTGATCTAGCTCTGCGGAGCATGAGCATGTTGAGCTGCCCTACTTTTTCACCCACATAAGTCCCTTTAAGTATTTGCAGCCAATGTTTTTGTCTCCAGTGGGTGATAATGGCGGCAAGTTCATCATTGCCGTCACTTGGGAGTACTTTATACAGGCCAGGCCTTGTGCTCCAAATGGTTAAGCAACTTGCACCGGGTCAGAGCTGGGTTTGCAAACCAGGCCAGGCTGCTCCGGAACCAGGGCTTCTGCACTGGTCACTGCCTCCTCTCTTCCTTGAACTTCCCGGTGAATCCATTGAACCTACAGGGCAGGCCTTTTAGTGGATATCCTCCGAATGTATAGTACCAACATACACACATCCTTCCCTCCTTCTTTCTGTGTGTATAAAATGCCTGCTTCTCCCTGCAGGATTTTGCTCGAGCAGTTTATCTCATTCCTCCAAATGAGATAAGGACTTTAAAAGCTTTATGTAATCCATAAAATTCTAAATCATCGGAAGAATTATAGTTCCCAAAGACATGCCTACATCTGTGCCTCACACTTACAAGGTCATGTCCAGTCAGACACAGAGTATATGAGTAGCTCGTCTTCCTCGGTTTCCCCAACTGTGGCTCGGATTGCTAGACTGCTGAGTGTTAATGCCCTGTAATTGGGTTTCCCATTCCAGAGTCACATCTCCCGTGTCTGGCTGACTCCAGCCCAGATGGGGTTGTACAGCAGCGTCACCAGAAGGTCACCTGTTTAACGGTTCTAATTTTGGCTCCTTTTTTTTTTTAACCCCCACAGTGAAGCAGAAATGGTCCCTGCACTTAAGCCTCCCCGAGAAGAGTTCCTGAACAGCCGGATGCTGATGCCCCATGACATCATGGCCTACAGAGGTCGTGAGGTTGTGGAGAACAATCTGCCTTTGAGAAATACTCCTGGGTGTGAGAGCAGAGCCTTTGCCCCTAGCCTGTACAGTGGCCTGTCGACACCACCAGCCTCGTATCCTATGTACAGCCATCTCCCACTCAGCAGCTTCCTTTTCTCTGATGAGGAGCTACGAGATGCCCACGCCCGCATGCCTGTGGCCAACCCCTTTCCCAAGGAACGGACCCTCTCCTGTGACAGTGCCAGGCCAGTCCCCAGTGAGTATAGCAGGCCGGCCATGGAGGTGTCCCCCAGCTTCTGCCACAGCAGCATCTACTCACCCAAGGAGGCAGTCCCCGAGGAAGCACGGAGTGATATGCACTACAGTGTGGCTGAGGGCCCCAAGCCAGCTGCCCCTTCTGCCCGGAATGCCTCGTACTTCCCCTGTGACAAGGCCAGCAAAGAAGAAGAGAGACCCTCTTCAGAGGATGAAATAGCCCTGCATTTTGAGCCCCACAATGCACCCTTGAACCGGAAGGGTCTGGTTAGTCCCCAGAGTCCTCAGAAATCCGACTGCCAGCCCAACTCACCCACAGAGTCCTGCAGTAGCAAGAACGCATGCATCCTTCAGGCCTCCGGCTCCCCTCCAGCCAAGAGCCCCACTGATCCTAAAGCCTGCAACTGGAAGAAGTATAAGTTCATTGTGCTCAACAACCTCAACCAGAATGCCAAACCGGAGGGCTCTGAGCAGGCAGAGCTGGGCCGTCTGTCCCCTCGAGCCTACCCTGCCCCGTCTGCCTGCCAGCCACCCATGGAGCCTGAGAACCTTGGTCTCCAGTCCCCAACCAAGCTGAGTGCCAGTGGGGAGGACTCTACCATCCCCCAAGCTAGCCGGCTCAATAACATCGTTAACAGGTGATTTCAGAGGACGCACGGGTCTAAGGTCAGGGGTTACCTGAGCACAGGTCTGAGGTTCATAGCCTCTGATGCATGCAGAGTGCAGGGCTGTTTTCTGTCTGAAATGCTGAAAGGGGTTAGGATCAGAGTGAGTTAGCCAGAGTCAGGAAGCATATTACACTGAAGTTGTATTTTTGTGTTAGTTTGTTTTGTTTTCCGTAGCAAGAGAGAGCGCATTGGTTTGTGTAAGAGAAAAGCATTCCACAAATCCCAAAGCACTTCCTGTGGTGTTGGTGGAGCAGGGAACCCCTCTTTTAGACTGAGGGAGGCTGTGGGCTGCAGGCCTGGGAGAAGAAAGTGGGCCTAGAAGTGAAAATGGGTCATTCCTTGACTCAAGCCAGTAGAAGAGGGCTTGGGGAGGGCTCTGAGCCTCAGAACTGCACACGGTAACTGGTCTCTGGGCTTGCGCGAACATACAGAGAGAAGTTAGCGTGGAGACCACGTGGACCACTCTTCACTGCTGGATGCTGATGCCCCTTTGTTCTGTCCACAGGTCCCTGACAGGCTCCCCCCGAAGCAGCAGCGAGAGCCACTCACCACTTTACATGCACCCCCCAAAGTGCACGTCCTGTGGCTCTCAGTCCCCGCAGCATACAGAGATGTGCCTCCACACTGCTGGCCCCACGTTCCCCGAGGAGATGGGAGAGACCCAGTCGGAATATTCGGATTCTAGCTGTGGTGAGTCCCTTTCTCCTCCTTCCTCTCAATGTCTAGGAGAAGGGAGGCCCCTCTGCTCCATGGGATTTGTGTTTCCATTTTATTCGTGATGCTGTTCCTGGGACATGGCCTGGATTAGAAGTCCACTGGTACTCACCATCACCAACAATAGATACTCCTCCTCCCTCTCCATCTCCCAGGACTGGGGCTGAGCCAGACAAGCCATCAGATGGAGGTGTTGAACTTGGGTAGCTGCAGTGGCTGAGAAATCACCAGCTTCACCCCAGCATAGGTGGCCTACAGGGCTTCTGGAACCCCCAGAGCTTTCTCAGCCTGTCTGCCCAAACTACTGTACTGACCTGGGTGCATGGCAGTGTTTCTTGGAAGGCTGTAGATTCTCTGTGGAGAAACATAAGGCCTTAGTCACTCATGTGTCTTTCACGGGCCTTAGTTGGTTCCTAGCGTGGAGGATGTACTTAGAAAATGTTTGCTGGATTAAGTCAGTTGAACTAAATTATTAAATTAACATTTCCATATAGTCAGTCTTGGCTCCCTCAGTGTTTAACCAGATAGAAGGTCTCACTCTTTACCCAGCTCTAGCAACTATCTTTTGTGACCAAGGAACTACATAATCAGGGTTAAATTGCAGTGATACACCATTCTCAAATTGTTGTGACAAAATAAAGAAATTGTTGGCTGCAAGCAGTTTGTCCCAGGGTCACAGATCAGAGGGAAATTAGAGACTGTGCCTGCCTGACCTCAGATGACTGTTCTGCATTCCAGTTCCTGTCTCTGGGCCTCCATTCCATCTTTAGTGTCCTATCTTTGTGCGAAGATGACCATGGAATCTTTATCATTAATCCCTTCTGTAGGGATTTAAAGAACCTGTGTCCCATGTCCCCATAATTTATTCTTTTCTTTTTTTTCATTGTATAACGTGCTCCTGTGAGAAGGCAGGACAGGATTATTAGTCTGACTTTGGAGAGAGAAACACAGAGAGGCTTAGAGGGTCTTGCCCCGGGGCTGCTGTGTATGAATACAAGTTGAACTTTGAACTGATAAAACCTTCTCAGAGCTCCAGGAGGAAAAAAAAACTTAGGTGTCCTCAAATTGGTGAGGCCAGAGCCCTAGAGTGAGCGTCTGGACCTTGGGATTCAGTCCGCCTCCTGTCTCTGTCTTCCATGACTGAGACTCTACATGCTAAGAAAAATGAAAATCCCACTGGTCCCGTGGGTTCCCCTAAGTGCTGGTTAGGGAGCCTGGGGTCCAGTGTAGCGCCGACGTGGCTCCGGAGGAGGGAGGCTTTGGGGCTCTACCCTGCCTCCTCCTGCTGACCCGGTGTCCCCCCACACTCTGCAGAGAATGGGGCCTTCTTCTGCAATGAATGTGACTGCCGCTTCTCCGAGGAGGCCTCGCTCAAGAGGCACACACTGCAGACGCACAGCGACAAACCCTACAAATGTGACCGCTGCCAGGCCTCCTTCCGCTACAAAGGCAACCTCGCCAGCCACAAGACCGTCCACACGGGTATGGCCTTGTCCCACCGTGAGTGCTCCAGTTAGGGACTGCAGACAGTGATCTTAGGAAAACAAACAAACAAACAAACAAAAACCTGAGAACTTTGTGGGAGCGAAGCAGGAGGCAGGCCCCGCATCCTGGCTTCACTTAGTACGGTGGTTCTCAACCTGTGGGTCTCGACCCCTTGGGAGCTGAATGGCCCTTTCACAGGGTCATATATCGGATATCCTGCATGCCAGATATTTATATTATGATTCATAACGGTAGCAAAATTGCAGTTATGAAGTAGCAATGAAAGTACTTTTATGATTGGGGGGCGGGGTGGTCACCACAACATGAGGAACTTTATTAAAGGGTCTCGGCATTAGGAAGGTTAAGAACCACCGAACTAGGGGCTTAACCCTGCCTTGTCTCCCCCACCTCCCCTTATTCTTTGTGTTTCCCCTGAGATTTTGTCCTGCTTCTCTGCCTTTGCTGGGGTTAGAAGAATTAATCCCCCTGGTTGCAGGAGGAGACTAATGCTGATAGGGGCAAAGTGGATTGGGTTTGGGGAAAGCCAGCTAAAACTGAAAGCCGCTGGATGTCCCTCAAGGACTTATCAACCAACTTACATTCTTTTTCCCGGGACACTTCTCACAACCTCATTGTTGTGGGCATTAACTAGCTCTCAGACCTTTCAGTGGCCCCATTATCCCTGAAACTTTCCATGGTGGAAGGCTCAACTGTAGATTGGTTTCCTCTGCCCGGCTTCTGCTCGGCCCCACACCCCGCCTTGCTTGCAAATGGAATACAGCTGTACTTGCCACAAGCGGAAAAGTATGTTCTGAGAGAAACTGGAGCAGCCTGATTGTATCTCCCTGGTGACTGAGTGGATTATTGCATCAGTCTGTCCAAGGGAAGAGCCCGAGGAGTCTTCCCAGGTCGTCTAGATCAGCCCTTCCCATTCAGAGAGGGAAACTGAGGCCCAGAGAAGGGCAGTGTCTTGCTCAAGCCCTACAGGCAGATGACCCTAGTGACAACACCTGTTTTGCAGGTCAGGCTTCTCGAACCCTTCCCCTCCGTGTCCTGTGCGTAGCATTGATTTCCATCCCAACCATGCCATCCATGCTGGTTTCTTGGCCTTGTCCCCTGCCGGCTGTGCTGGTGTGTGTGAGCAAGGATGACTGGCCCCTAGATCAGTGGTTCTCAACCTGCGAGTCATGATCCCTTTGGGGGTCCAACGACCCCATCACAGGGGTCACCTAAGACTATCGGAAAACACAGCTATTTACATTACGATTCCTAATAGTAGCAAAATGACAGTTATGAAGGAGCAATGAAATAATTTTATGGCTGGGGGGTCACCACACCATGAGGAACTGTATTAAAGGGTCACAGCATTAGGGAGGTTGAGAACCACTGTCCTAGATCCTCCTTCTGACCTCCCCGTAGAGAAGGGGAGGTATTAGTGGCCTTGGACAGGAGTAGTTGCTTTGAAGTTTACGGTCAGTGTGGTCCTCCATTATAATGGAAAAAACGTGTCTTGGCAATAGGTGAGAAGCCCTATCGCTGTAACATTTGTGGAGCGCAGTTCAATCGGCCAGCCAACCTGAAGACCCACACTCGAATTCACTCTGGAGAAAAGCCCTACAAGTGTGAGACCTGTGGGGCCAGGTTTGTGCAGGTGAGCAGGGCAGCATGGGGAAGGGACGCTGAGGGATCGAGGACCTGGGCGTAGGCTGGCAGTGCACCCTGGCCGCACCTCTCACCCTGTGCTCCTCATCCAGGTGGCCCACTTGCGTGCCCATGTGCTCATCCACACTGGAGAGAAGCCGTATCCCTGTGAAATCTGCGGCACTCGCTTCAGGCACCTTCAGACTCTAAAGAGCCACCTGCGCATCCACACAGGAGAGAAACCTTACCATGTATGTAACCCCTGTGGCTCCTGGCTGGCCTGGGAGGGAGGGATGTGGAGCAAGTGGGCAGCGGAGCTATGTGCTCCAACCTCTAGCATACAGTGGACTAATAATGTTCAGGAGATCTAGATCTGAGCTTGATTGTCAAAGTCTCAGTGTGCTCATCATTTGAAATGGAGGCACTGGTCTGGGTGACCTGGACCTTAGGAAAGAAGGTATAGAATTGGGCCATTCATTCTTTCCACCAATACTTGCTGAGTGTCTCCATCATACCTCTACACTAGATAGGTATGGAAGAGTATCTAGGATGATCAAGCAGAGCTTAGAAGTAAGAGAGCAACCAGAGAGAGACGGCAAAAAAAAAAAAAAAAAAAAAAAAAAAAAAAAAAAAAAAAAAAACCACCAAAACCAGAACCCAAAGTAAACCTAGAAAACATCGTTTCGAGAAAGGGCAGGCAGGCACTGGAGGGCGGTTGGGCAGTTAAGAGCACTTGCTGCTGTTGCAGAAGATGTGGGTTCCAGGTCCCAGCACTTGAATTGGGTGGTTCACAACCACTTATAATTCCAGTTCAGGGGATTCATCACCCTCTTCTGGCCTCCCTGGTACCTGCACACATGTGGTGCACATATAAATAAGCCCGCACATGCGTAAATAAAAATAAATGAAATTCAAAAGAAAGAGCAGGTGCCTAAATGCTTTGCACTGTATTAAGAACAGGCTGTTGGAATGGTTGTGTCGCAGAGCAAAGTCTCAGCAAACGACAGCCGGCTGGTTAAGTTTTGAATGTTGTGTAAGCCAAAACGTGTGTGACGTTGTGAGTTGTGTGAAATTTAACTTTCGTAGGAGAGAATATATAATTGGAACGCAGCCACACTGATTTGTTTACATAGTGTATGAGGCTGCTTTGAGGCGTCAAGGGCAGCACTTCAGGTGCTGCTGGGCTAATCAGTGAACGGTTTGCTCACACCCAGATGTTGAGCGGTAAAGCGTGCCAATTTTTGTTCACTTGCCTCTAAGGCTTTGGATGAGTATCTTTGTACTTGCTGTTTCTCTCTTGGCAAATTAGTTAATTTTTCACCCTTAGTGCCTTAGTTTCCCTGTCTGTACATTGACCCAGGAAGTACTGCCTACTTCATGAACTGGCTCTATTTAGGTAATTACTTCATTCAGTGCTTTGAGTTGTTCAAGCTCACAGCTATGGCGTGATCTCTCGGAATTTTAGTCACAGAGGCTATAAGAATTGAAAGGGACATTTGGCATTGATTGATACAACCCCTTATAGAAGGGAAAGCCAAGGTCTTAATAGATGGTATGGCCAGGATATACAGCAATGGGTGGCACAGTTGCCGTGGACCTGTGGCATTTGAAAAAAACATCTGCCAGACTCGAGAATCTCCATAAATTTAGGCCATCTAACCCAATTGTGCTATTGCATTCAGACTGATTTCAGTTTTCTGAGGGTGCATTCTGCTAGATCGTAGGGAGACTACAAAGTTTGGATGAGAAGTATTAACTTCCAAGTATCAACCACCTGATGAGGACGTTAATGCACCAGGATGATTGTGGGGCAAGGCTATAAATCTGAGGTCTAGAAAGAGATGGACTGTTCTGTCTTAGATTCAGAAATGCATTACTAATTAGGGGAGTTTGCATCGGAATTTATTTTGGGTAAGACTTGTGATCATGCAGTTAAGTCAGGGAAGGGCATCTCAAGCCCGGGGAACAGGAGTGACACATTGGAAGGGAAGGCAAGGACATTCGCTCAATGTATACTTAACATCCAGTGGCAGCCAGGATTCCAGTGGGTTCTGAACCCGCCCTTTTAGAGGGAGGAGCTGCCTCCACCCCACCCTCACAGGGACTCCTCGGCTCTGCTCTGGGTTTTTGAGAAATGACACGTTTCTCGAGTCGATGACGGCTAACACTTTGCTTCTGGTGTCTCTCCAGTGTGAGAAGTGTAACCTACATTTTCGTCACAAAAGTCAACTGCGACTTCACCTGCGCCAGAAGCACGGCGCCATCACCAACACCAAGGTGCAATACCGCGTGTCGGCCGCTGACCTGCCTCCGGAGCTCCCCAAAGCCTGCTGAAGCATGGAGTGTTGACTCTCCCTAGCCCTTTCTCTCAGAACCTCCCCAAAGGATGCTGTAACACTTTACAAAGGTCATCCCATGATGTAGTGCCTCTCTCATCCACTAGTGCGAATCATAGTTGGGGTGGGGGGTGGGGGTGGGGCTTGCGGACCGGGAGCCAAGGCAGCTCCCCTTCCCACACTGCCATAAAACATTAAGAAAATACTATTGCTTCTTCTCCTATGTGTAAGACAAACCATGTCAGCAAAAAGCAAAATCATTTTCTGTATCAAAGTAGGGAAGAATGCAAAAGTTCTGACGTGACAGGTTGCAACATGAGGAATGTAAACGTTCTGTGGGAACAGAAATCTCTTTTGTATGTAAATGTATTGTTTTAAAAGACAAGACTTCAGTATGTTGTCAAAGAGAGGGCTTTAATTTTTTTAACCAAAGGTGAAGGAATATATGGCAGAGTTGTAAATATATAAATATATATATATAATATAAATATATAAACCTAAAAAGATATATTGAAAATATAAAACTGCGTTAAAGGCTCGATTTTGTATCTGCAGGCAGACACGGATCTGAGAATCTTTATTGAGAAAGAGCACTTAAGAGAATATTTTAAGTATTGCGTCTGTATAAGTAAGAAAATATTTTGTCTAAAATGCCTCAGTGTATTTGTATTTTTTTGCAAGTGAAGGTTTACAATTTACAAAGTGTGTATTAAAAACAAAAAAAGAACAAAAAAAAGCTGCAGAAGGAGAAATGTATACTTTTGTTCTAGTTTTCAGTTTGTATATACCTGTAACGTGTCCTCACGGTGCCTTTTTTCACGGAAGTTTTCCATGATGGACGGACGTGCGCCATCCCTTTTGGAAGTGTTGGCAGACACAGGGACCTGAAGCCGTCACTGACTCAAGTCTCTTTGGGAATGTTTGGCTCCTCCCACATTCTGCATCATGCTTGTTCTTATAATTACTCCGGAGACAGGGTTTGGCTGTGTCTAAACTGCATTATTGCGTTGTAAAATATAGCTGTACAAATATAAGAATAAAACGTTGAAAAGTCAAAGGGAGGTTTCTCCGAGGATCTGTCATTGCGTGGAGATCCATCCGGGTGGGTCCAGCCTCCCGTATTCACGTTCCAGTGGAATATGTTCGAGGAGGGGAGGGGCTGCTGGCCAGGGAGATGTTGAAAAGGCCAGATGGGGGTTTGTCCTCTTTCTGCCTGTTTTTGTCCTGAGCACAGGGTCAGCTGCAGACCCCAGACACAGGGCCTGTAGGTCAAGTGGAGGATTGGAATGGACCCTTCCCCAGCTCTGGGCCGCACTCTGCATTCCAGCCCTTGCTCTTTTAGACACAAACGTTTCGTGGTCTCTTCCACACGGGAGCCTCAGTTGATTATTCTTTTCTAAAGTGAGAGGTCCCATCGTGGCCCTGGCTTCATAAACAAGTTCTCTTCACTTGGCTACCCAGGGCAGGTCAGAGACATCTGGCTTAAGCCACACATTTCTCAGCCTCAGTACATTTGGTGTCTCCCGGGTGACTGACAGACAGTTATAGACTTAAAAGCTTTATGATTGGCCAGAGGCCAAGCAAGCCCCTACCCTTATGCTGGAGCACAGCCACCCCTCTCTGTGGGTTGGATCACCATTTTTGCTATAGTTCTCTGTCCCAGCTTATCTAAGAGGAGACTGGGTTAACCAGACCGTTTATGAATCCATGATTCAGATGTAAGTTCACATTGGCCTGCTTTGGCATCCATTTTTATTTTACCTCAGAAAACCCCACGGACCAAGTCTGATTGACAGGCCCTGAGAACCGGGAAGACAAGTGTGGTTCTGGTAATGGGCCCAGAAGAGAAAGCCCGCAACCCCTTCCTGTTCCTGGGTGGCGGTGGAGAGGGGACATGTGCCCACTGACCAGCTCACAGCAGTGACCGCAGCAAGCTCTGAGCACGTGTCGGGAAGCCGGAGGAGCTGACCACCCAAAGCCCCAGAGAGAGCTTCAGAAAGTCACGCCACCCTCTGCCAACCGCACGGCCTTGCAGCTCAGGTTTCCTTTGAAAATGACTTTAAAGGACTTGCCAGCTCAAGGCCTCAACTCACCCTGTTCTTTGAAAAGGGAGAAAATGATCCCTCTGCTCCCATAGAAACCTGGCAGAAGAACTTACAGAAGAGACAGCTTCAGGAATGACAATTCACAGGCCTGAGGGAGGCTGGCCCCAGGCTCCTTTTGCTCCTGAGAGTCTGTTTTTGTATCATTACTATTTATGAGGGAGACAGAGGAGCAGACAGGGAGGGTGGTGTTCCGACACAAGAGAGATCAAAGGCAGAGCTACTACAGCCAGCTGATGATTAATAATAAGTGAAAAGAAAACATCTCTAAACAGAGTTATTAAGAGTACAGCCCAGAGCAAAGGGAAGAGAGAATTTTATTACAAAAGCATGGAGTGAATCCATTTTCACATAAAAAAAAAAGGTGTCTCAAAAACCAGGCTGTGCTTGATATTCTCCACATCATGGATGTTTGGGGGGCGGGGGGCAAACGTTTGTCTGGACCTCGAGTTGAGGCGTGTATGGAGGTAGGTGTATTAGCTTTTGTTATAGTTAGCTTTCTGTTGCCATAATAAAGCACAGACCAAGAGTAATTTGGGGAGGAAAGAGTTGATTGGGCTTACACATCCTGATCACAGTCCACCTTTGAAGGAAGTCAGGGCAGGAACTCAAGGCAGGAACCTAGAGTCAAAAACTGAAGCAGGAACCATGGAGGAATACCACTTACCGGCTTGTTCCCGGTGGCTTGCTCAGCTTGCTTTCTGATGCAACCCTGGCCCATCTGCTCAGGACCCTCCCACATCAACATAAATCAGGCAGATGCCTCAGAGACTTGTCTATAGGCTGGTCTGAGGGTGGTATCTTCTCAGCTGAGGTTCTTACTTCCCAGACGACCGTAGCGAGAGTGGAGTTGACAACTGAGCAGCGCAGATTTCTTTCCGCTGTGGCCGAATGCTCAGCACAGCAAGGAAGGGTTGACGTCCCTAAGCTCACAGCCTCAGAGGTTTCTGTCCGTAGTCCCTGGTTCTGCTAACTCTGGGCCTGTGGAGAGACAGGATATCACGGCGGACAGGAAGCAAAGAGAGAGAAGGCCAAGACACAGTCCCAAGTGACCTATTTCCTCCAGCTAGGTCTCAACTTCTAAAGTTTCCAGAACCTTCTAGAATAGTGCCACCCACTGAGAACCAGCCTTTTAAAACAATAAATAGCTTTTGGAGAGGTTGGGGGCTCGACTGTACATCTGAATCACAGTAGTAGGCCTATGGATGTGAGTGAGCAGACACACGCAGAGCTGTTCAGGAGTTGGAAGACACAGAGTAGAGCGAACCCTCTAGTTCAAGTGTCTCTTCTGATCCATGAGGTGACTAAGGGAAACAGGTCTGGTGCTATCCAGTGACTGGGCAAGTAAGGAGACCAGGCTCCTCCTTACCCCGACCCTTGGAAAGAACAGGTGTGTGTTCTGATTTAGGAATGACGAAATGGCAGGTCCAAGGTCACGCAGCTAAGTGCCCAGCTTGCCTGAGTTCCCACACCCAGCTGTTTGTGGAACTTCATGTTCAGTCAGTAGTTAGGGCTTTGGCGTCTTGTTTTTATTTCTTTGCATCCCTCACAGCAGTAGTGAATACGAGCTTGTCTCCTGTTCTCTCAGAGGCATGCTCAGGAAAGCGTTAAGAGAAGTGAGGAAAAAAACCAGGGGAAGAGCTGACCCCTGGGCACGAGTCAGGCCACAGCAATGGCGGAGCCCCAGAGTGAGGCTCTCAAAGCAAAATCATCTTCCAATACTGGGTTCTATGGATCTTGCTCTCGTTTGGAGGTTTCTGGACTTACATTTCTATGAGACCCAGTATCTCTTACAACTACTTATAATTGGGTACCTGTGACCAGCACCTTCTCTTTACATGGGCTAGTCTGTGTGGGTTTCTGTTTTCTGGAACCAGGGCACAGTTTATGCTGGCAGCCGGACTTCATATATATTTCATATTTCATGTTTGATAAAAGTGTCTCTTTGGGTTTTAAGTTACTTATTTACAATGTTCTTATTAATATAACTACTTTAAAATATATAAAAAGGGTCATTTACTGATCTCTGAAGTGGCAAAGGGAAAAGTATCTCTAGTCAAACTATTAAATGAGATGATTGGAAATTAAGCAGTAACATTGCTCCCCCTTTTGGCTAAAATCAAGTGTGAAATTGTTAAGTAATAAAACTTTTGCAGTACTTCCTCAAAAGCAGCAAGTCAAAATACACATTTATTCCTAGCAACTTGATCATTTTGCATTACTGATTGTAAGGAACAATAACACGAGGGGCTAGAGAGAGGACTGGGCAGAGAGTGCTTTCTGCTCTTTCAGAAGACCTGAGTTCAATTCCCAGCAGCCACAGCAAGCAGCTCCAAACTGTTTGTAACTCCCGCTCCAGGGGTAAAAAAAAAAAAAAATAAAGAAATAATACCATGAAGGATAACGTTAGACTTTGGAGACTATTTTACAATAATTAAGTTACCAGTTTTACATTTAATTATGGCACAACGATAAAAGTTTGCCCAGTGCGTTTCACAGCTGAGCAGTAGAACTGAGCACTTTGTGACTTTCATAAAGATCCACACACTTTTTTTTTTTTTTTTTACCATAGCTTTCCCACAGCTCATGGCCTTTGGAGTAAAATTATTTCAGTATTAAACTAAACCAAAATTTGTAACTGGTTACAATTAACAGAACAGTGACTACTGTGGCAGGGTCTTGTGTGTGTGTGTGTGTGTGTGTGTGTGTGTGTGTGTGTGTGTGTGTGTGATATGTGAGTGTTCGCCTACACGTGGGAAACCATGTTTATGTGGGTGGAGGCCATATGCCTTACCTTAGGTATCTTCAGTCTTTTTTCCATGTTATTGATTGAGGCAAGGCCTCTAACTTGAACTCAGAACTCCCCTATTTGGCCAGTCTACCATGCCAGCTGGCCCTAGGGATCCTCCGGCTCCACCTTCCAATTGCCAGGGTTACAGGCGGCTGCTAAGACACTCCAACATTTCCGAGGTTCCTGGAGACCTGAACCAATCTTGCCGCTCTCACAAGCCGAGTGCTTCACCAACTGACCCATTTCCCCGCTGCATGACTAAACTTCTGAATGGTGGCTGACATTTGCTGGATTCCTCCAAGGAAAGACACAAACCTTGGTTTATCCAAGATACTGTGACCAGTGGGGAGGGCTAAGCTCCTCTACTCCACGAGGAAGAAAAAGGGGGTTAGGGTACCTAGCACGACCAGTGTAATGATGAGGGGCACTTTCATCACAAGTGAAGAAGTCTTCAGTGGGCACTGGGAAAGCAGAGTTCTAGGAAGAGAGGTGGCAATTCAGAAAGGGCTGGGATGCTTGGAGGACCACTGGACCACCCACCTTTGGTGGTCTACCTCCCTAGACGAACGGATGCTTAGCACACTTAACAAATGAGTCAGGCCTCCCTCCCTTCTGCTTTGAAGATGGAGTCTTACTATGTATGTAGCCCAGCCCTGTCTCAAACTCACTGCATACCCAAGCTGTCTTTGAACTTGCTGTCTTCTTGTCTCAGCCTCCCTAGTGCCGGGATTATAAGTGTGTCCCACCATACAAAGTTTCTCTTTTGCTTATGTATCCTAAGTAGCCAGGCTGGTTAAGTAGCAAGCATGCATGGAGTCAGAATCATTGGCTACTGTAACTGAGGCTCTTTAAGGATTATGGTAATTTCACCTAGTCAAGAAAACCAGGCACAGAAAAGGAAGACCTCACATCAAGGGTCACAGCAAGAATTTTGATCAGGGAGATCACTTAACTCCTGAGTTTCTAGCATGATCCAGGCCCTCAAGACATTTGCAGTTAAGTTGGAAAACTATACCATAAACAGTGTAGAAAGAAATACCAAAAGGCATTAAAGTTTTGGCCAATAAATGACGTTATTCTAGGACTTAGAGATGAACACAGCTGGGATGGCACATTGCTCTCTGGAGGCACTATGGAGAGGTCGGCCTTGCTGTCTGTGTTAGG